CGCTTTTGTCATTTTAAATCATGCTCTGAGTTTAACTGCCTGCCCGGGCATCCTGTGTGCGACCCGACCCAGGGTGGTGGGGCGGGACAGCATGGCTCCTCTGTCACCCCAGCTTCCTCATCACAGCTCCCTTGGGGGCCTAAGCCTTTAGTCAGACATCCCCCGAGGGCTCCCTGGCTGCCAGGAGGATGTCTGACTGCAAGCTTAGGCCTGATCCCCCGGGGAGTGGGCCTAAATTGACAGGTGGACATCCCCCAAGGGGTCCTGGACTGCAAATAGGCGTAGGCTGGGCTGAGGGACCCCCCCCCTCCCCCACCGCGTGCACAAATTTTTGTGCACCAGGCCTCTAATTTATAATAATTACTGATAGGAGAGGACTTACTATTTCCATTTTGTTACTGATTTTCTGTATGTCTCAGATTTATTTTGTCCCTCATTTCCTCCCTTCTTACCTTCTGTTGTGTTTGTTTGTTTATTAATATATTTTTATTGATTAAAGAGAGGTAGGGAGAGGGAGAGAGATAGAAATATCAATGATGAGAGAAAATCATTGATCAGTTGCCTCCTACATGCCCCTTACTGGGGATTGAGCTCGCAACCAGGGCATATGCCCTTGACTGGAATCAAACCTGGGACCCTTCAGTCCGCAGTCCAGTGCTCTATCCACTGAGTTAAACCAGCTAGGGGGTCCTTCTCTTGTGTTTAATTGATTTTTTTTGTAGTGATACAATTACTCCTTTTCATTTCTTTTTGTGTGCATTCTATAGATTTTTTTCTTTTTGGATACTATGGTGATTACATAGTTATAAGAATCTATTTTAAACTGATAATAATTTAACTTTAATGTTGAAATTTTTTTGTAAATATATTTTATTGATTTTTTACAGAGAGGAAGGGAGAGAGATAGTTAGAAACATCGATGAGAGAGAAACATCGATCAGCTGCCTCCTGCACATCTGCTACTGGGGATGTGCCCGCAACCCAGGTACATGCCCTTGACCGGAATCGAACCTGGGACCTTTCAGTCCACAAGCTGACGCTCTATCCACTGAGCCAAACCTGTTTTGGCTAATGTTGAAATTTATTTTGTTTTTGAACCCTTAATGTGTATCATGCATTGCATTGAACACTCCACACTTACCTCATTTTAATCTTTTTATTAGCCTTCTGAAATTCAGGTATTGCTATCTGTATTCTACAAACGAGGAAACCAAACCACAAGGAGAATAATTAATTAGCCCGAAGTTACATAGCTAGGAAGTAGCAAAGTCAGAATTCAGTCCAGGTCTGCTACACCCTCCCATGTTCCACCCAGTACTGTGAACAATCAGCTCACATTTCTTCTGCATTCATCACATCAGGTGGGATGGCCACATGGCTTTGTTAAAACATGTAGCTGACTAGTCTCTTTATTTCCAAAACACATAATCATGCCATTTTTTTTTTAAAAAAAATTGTTTTCAGAGAAGAAGGGAGAAGGAGAGAGAGAGAGAAATAATAATGATGAGAGAGAATCATTGATTGGTTGTCTCCTGCACACCCCCCACTGGGGATCAAGCCCGAAATCTGGGCGTGTGCCCTTGACTGGAATTGAATCTGGGACCCTTCAGTCCGCAGGCCGACGCTCTATACACTGAGAAAAACTGGCTAGGGCTCATGGCTTTTTAAAAATTTGACATTTAACATGGGTGTATAGCTAAAATAGAAGCATAGCTATGGCAGCACAGGGTGGAGACTTGAAAGTGTACACATAAAAATGTAAATTATCTGAAGTTTAACGTGACCAACTTTGGAGTGAGAATTTCCCATATAATTGTTGCATTTTTCCCAATGATGAAACAAAATTTGGAATAGTTCGTTAAAGTAGTACACACATTTAAAAAACATTGTACGTTGGAGTGTAAGATATTGTTTAATGAATACATTTCTTTTCTTCTTTAATAGTTTACTGCCGGAAACATTAATTGGAAGCATGTCCTACATTCATTTGTTGATATTTTATCGCCAAATTCTTGGAGATGTACTCCTAAAAGACAGGTTGAGCATGCAAAGTGCTGGTAAGGGGGTCTTTGCAATTTTCTTTTGTACAGTAATGCATCATGCTTTGAGTAAATGTAACCTATGTCAGCCTGTATCTTCTGCTTCCAAAGGTGAGACCACGGTAATGAGAAAAGTGAGGTTGGAAAAAAACACAGAAAAGTGAACACAAGTTTCTAGTCTTATTCTGTTCAGAGCCACTTCACTCCCCTCCTAAAAGCTCTGTTTATGTGGTACAAGACTCATTCCAGAGCCCTCTATGTTGTGGATATAGGGGGGGATGGAGGATGAGGGGACAGCTTTGAGCTCCTAGAGGTTAAAGTGTTAGAATGTGTTGTCAACAAATCTTGTGACACAGTGATTCTAATTTGAATATATGTTATGTCTGTTGCAGTAAAACATATTGGATAAAGTTTGTGTAAATCCTTTTTGGTCTTTGTATTTCAGATTTAATCAGTAATCCCGTACTGGCCACCTTCCCCAAGCTCTTGGAGCAGCCTGACATAATGGATGCGCTCAGGGTGGGTAGTATCATGATGGGAATCTGGTGGGTTCTGAAAGCAATTAAACACACATTAGTGCATTCTGACACCTATTCTCCCCCCCGCCCCCGCATTTGGATGACATCTCCTGATCTGTGTCCACTTTTTAGCTGACTTGGGCTCATCCTTCCTTTCTTAGCATGAGTGTTACTTATCCAGGCTTCCCAGAACCCAATAAGCAGGTGAAGGGCATGCTATGTATACTGTTGCAATCTCTTATTTGTTTTTTGTTCCTTAACTTAAGATGGCCACTAATTGTGGCCTAAGAGCAAAAATCCAAAATGGTTTGTTATATACATGAACTGAGTTCTCAGGGGAGAGTCAGGACACACATGTCATTTTTTATTTAATTCAACATATACTTTCTGCTGCATGAAATAGCAGCTGGTTGAACCACATGAATTCTTCAATTTTCAGCCATTTTTGACCTTCAAAATGTCAATTTTATAAAGTTCAACTTATCATAACAGGGTCAACAAACATTAGAAGACCTATATGCCCACAAGGCAGATGTTCAGATACCATGGCATGTGCCACAGGGGAAGCATGACCCAGGTCCTTGGAAACTTAATAAGGCAGCAAAGGAGGACCAAGGACTGTTCCATTAAAGAGCTCCTGAGTGAGATGGACCTAGTACACACTGGGGCCAAATCCGGTTTTGGCATGCTGAGATGGGAGTGAAATACATTACAGAATAGATCCCAAGATGGCTACAGAGTAGATGGAAACTACACTCATCTGCTCCCCACCCCAAACTGGGTTTATAGCTAAATTATAGAGCAGTCAACCTGAATAACCAACTGAAGGCTAGCTAAACTGAAATATTATACCAAAGATTTGTAGAAGAAGCCACTTAGAGACTGGCAAGAAGAGTGGAGACGTGGAAAGGGCTGGCCCCCACACCCAGGTGCGGCAGTGGCTGAGAAGCTGGAGGGATATTGTGGCTACAAAACTTCCTCCCCCCAGTATCATGGTGTCTCAACCCCATGTAGAGAGAACACAGAGCATCAGAAATGGGAACAGGAACCCACATAGCATCTGGTGGTGAAAATCAGTGGGACTTCAGTCTACCTGAAAGACCCAGATGCCACCTTCACAGGAGCAGTCCTATTGTTAACAGCAGCAGCCCGGGGAGTGCTCTGGTCTCCCACTGCTAGTGAGACCACTCTGCCATGCTTGGGTCTTATGGAGGATCTGCTGGCTGAACCCAGCAGTAACTTTTGGGGCCCTCTTTTTCTAGGAAGGCTTTTGGTGAATTCAGACAGTGACTAAACTGTGTGACTTTTGGAAGAATGCTGGTCTCACTACCTTGAGCACATAGCCAGTGCCCCTTCCCCACTTGTTGAACCACTTAGCAGGCCTGCTGAGTTCAGTGGTGCAGGGGGACCAGAGTGCTATGCAGAGCTGGGACTTTCAGACCTGTCTCTTGGGGAAACTTTTGTCCAGGAACCGGACAGGCAGATGCTGGGGTGTGTGGCTACTCCTATCTTTCTAGTGATTTCAGTCTCTGCTACCCAGGAAGGGGAAGATGTGCCTGTCCCCTCTCCTATAGACTTCAGGGAACCCTCCCACCCCCCACTGGGAGACTGTTGGGATCAGCCCTGCAAAGTTCTGGATACCCCATCCCATTGGGTTCAGTTCTGTAAGGGGAAGGGAGAGTAGCTCAGAGCTGGGACATTAAAAGTGTAAGCCCCTTGGAGGCTATTGTCTGGGGCTGGGGCAAAGTGCTTAGCTCCCTCCTGTGGGCTGTGCTGGCATCATCCCCATGGAAGACTCCTTTGATATGTCTGCCTGAACCTGAGGCAGCTTAGCTTGCTCCTGCAGAGAGGACGGCTGGCTGCACTGAACCTGAACCTGCAGAGCGCTCCTCCAGGGGGAATTAGAGTTGGAGACTCAGACAGAGACTGAGTGATTTGGCTCTGGGGTAGGGGCCACTTTTTCCTCATTGAGTGCCTGGCTGCATGATCCAAGTAGGGACCCACTAGCCTTGTCCTCCCAACCCCAGTTATCCCACCCTACTGAGCTTGCAACCTGTGGAAGGGGATGTGGTTTGTGGCCATCCTGTTGGGCCCACTCAACAGTCATTTTTTGTCAGGGTCTGGAAGAAGACCAGGCAACTTTAGGGTGAGCCAGAGTAGCTGACAGGTGGAGGTGGACCTCAGAGAGCCTTGGTCCTTTTACAGATCTGCCACCAGCTCTAACCCGGAGGAATTTCTATATCATTATATAGAAATTGACCCCTCCTCCACACATCCAGGTCCAGTAGATGCAGCCACAAATAGTGAAAAGAGTGGTAGCTCCAGACAGGTTGCCTACAGTCAGTTACACACAACATCTGACAGTGACCTGTACCTAAACCCCACCCAAGTGGACCCAGAACCAACTCAGCCAGTGGTGGGCTGCAGATCAGACCAGAGCTCAACCCTAGTAGCCACACAAGCTGCACACCCAAAGGGGAATTATAGCAATCACCAGACCCTCCTAGAAATAACTCTGCCTCAAGGGGCAGCCTCTGAACAGTGTCTCATACACAACATCTTGTATAGTCAGCCAGGCTGAAAGATTAACTCTATCTACAAAAGGGCCAATAGCACTCAAGACTCAACTACAACAGGAGGGTGTACATAGCCCACAAAAAACCCCCAAAACATTTCTGGAGCAAGGAGCTCAGGTGATCTGGAAGATTGTGCCATTAAGCACAATGAGACACCATCATCATAAAGCCATCATAACAAGTTTGGCAATCATAGCAGATCTACCTAATTCAGAGAGACAAAATGGAGAAATAAATAAATAGGCCCCAAATGAAAAAACAAGATAAATCCCCAGAAAAAGAATTAAATGAAATGGAAACAACCAAAATACCAGAAGCAGAGTTTAAAACAATGGTTATAAGGATGCTCAACGACTTTAGGGGGAGAATGGATGATCTCAGTGAGAACTTAAAGAGATAATAAGCAATAAAAAGGACATAGAAACCATAAAAAAGAACCATTTGGAAATGAAGAATAGAATATCTCAAATGAAGAATACACTAGAAGGAATCCACAGCATATTAGATAAAGCAGAGGATTAAATCACCAATTTAGAGGACAAGATAACAGTAAGCACCCAAGCAGAGCATAAGAAAAAAAAAGAAGAGAGAATTAAAAAAAATGAGGACAGTCTAAGGGACCTCAGGAACAGCATCAAGCATAACAACATCCACATTATAGGGGTACCAGAAGGAGAAGAGAGTGAGAAAGGGATAGACAAGAAATAATGTTTGAAGAAATAATGGCTGAAAACTTTCTTAACCTGGTGGAGGAAAAAATTGTACAAGTTCAGGAAACAAAGAGTCCCCATCAAATTCAGGAAACTCAAAGAGACCCAAACCAAGACATATTATAATTAAAGTAGCAAAGGTTAAAGACAAAGAGAGAATCTTAAAGGCATCAAGAGACAGAAAAGAAAAAAAAAGGCATCAAGAGAGAGACAGTTACCTACAAGTGAGTTCCCATAAGGCTGTCAGCTGATTTCTCAACAGAAACACATCAGGCCATGAGAGATTGACATGAAATATTCAAAGTGATGAAAAGCAGGGACCTGCAACCAAGACTATTATATCCAGCAAGTCTATCATTTAAAATTGAAGGTGAAATAAGGAGCTTCCCAGAAAAAAAATGCTAAAGGAATTCATTACCATTAAACCAGTATTGCAAGACATGTTAAAGGGCCTACTGTAAGAAGAAGAAATATATAGAGAGAGGAACATAAGTATAAAGTATAAAATGCAATAAATAAATGCTTACCAATAATAACCTTCAATGTAAACAGATTAAATGCTCCAAAAGACACGGGTAGCTGAAAATGGATAAGAAAACATGACCCATGTATATGCAGACTATAGGAGACCCACCTCAGAACAAAATAGTCACATAACTGAAAGTGAAAGGATGGGGAAAAGTTATTCCATGCAAATGGAAAGGGAAAAAGAAAGCTTGTGTAGCAATATTTATATTTGACAAAATGTACTTCCAAACAAGGTAATAACAAGAGACAAAGAATATTACTACATAATTCTAAAGGGATTGATCCAACAAGAGGATATAATCCTTGTAAACTTGTGCACCTAAAATAGGAGCACCTAAATATGTAAAGAAAATCTTGGTGAACATTAAGGGAGAGATTGACAGCAATACAGTCATAGTAGGGGATTTTAAACACCCCCATTATCATCAATGGATGGATCGTCCAGACAAAAATATAACAACAAGGAAACAGCACACTGGGTCAGGTTGATTTAATGGATATTTACTGAACATTTTATTCCAAAAGCAGCAGAATATACATTCTTCTCAAGTACCAATGCAACATTCTCAAAGATCACATGTTAGGACACAAAATAAGTCTCTACAAGTTCAAGAAGATTGAAATCATATCAAGCATCTTCTCAGATCACAGTAGTATGAAACTAGAAATTAATTACAATAAAAAACCTGAAAAACACTCAAACACATGTAGGCTAAATAGCATGTTATTAAACAATGACTGGGTTAACAGTGAGATCAGGGAAGAAATAAAAAATTACCTGGAATCAAATGAAAATGAGCACACAACAACCCAAAACCTATGGGACACAGTGAAAGCAGTTCAGGTTGACAAACCTTTAACCAGATTCATCACAAAAAAAAGAGAGAGGACCCAAATAAATCCAAATGAAAGAGAAGTAACAACTGACATTACATAAATACAAAGGACTGTAAGAAAATATATGAACAACTATATACCAACAAATTGGTCAACCTGGGCGAAATGGATAAATTCCTAGAGACATACAATCTTCCAAAACGGAATTAGGAAGAATCAGAAAACCTGAATAGACCAATACCAACTATTGAAACTGAAGCAGTAAAACAAACAAAAAAACTCTCAGCAAACAAAAGTTCTGGACAGGATGGCTTCATAGGTGACTTTTACCAAACATGCAAAGAACTAATAGTATCCTTCTCAAACTATTCCCAAAAATTCAAGGGGAAAAGACAAGCTCATCTTACGAGGCCAGCATTATCCTAATTCCAAAGCCAGATAAAGACACTACAAAGAAATAAAATTATAGGCCAACATGGCTGATGAATACAGATGCTAGATTCCTCAACAAAATATTATCAAACCAGGTCCAGCGATACATTACAAAGGTCATACACCGGCCGTGAGTCTAAAGTTGCTGAGTGCTGTTCGTGTTAAGTCAAATTTCTTACAGAGTTTGTGACGTGTGAGCCCCTTACTGTTAACTTAGCCAAGTTCAGTTTGTTGTTGGCGCTTTGATGATGATGGTGGCTCCTGGTCTGGTTAGTGACACGCTCTGGCCTCCAAGGGTCCTCTTCAAACTCTCTGGCCCCAGGTGCAGCCGCCAGCGGTGGAGGAGCACAGCGCCTAAGGCAGTTCTTCCAGAGGAACTGTGAGCATCTGGGGGTGGCTCCTGCCAGCGAGGGTCCTGCAGAGGAGGGGCTGGGGCGCACCTCTGTGGTCTCGGTGGGGAGCTTTTTTGTTTCGTGGAGACTCTTCTCTTGGTACCACATGTCATGTTCACCCCAGGTAACAGGGGTGAGGTAAGTCGACGCATCCACGGAAATCATGAACTCAGGTGCCAGCGGGAGGATACCTGCCAACAGGCACCATGTGAGGCCCAGGAGCGAGCAGCTGGAGCCTGGCACCTCCTTGGGTACAGTGTGCAGAGCTGGCACTGGAGGCTTGGATCCCGACCTCTGTGGGGCTCCCTGAACTCTGGGTTTTTATTTCTGTAAAAGAGCATTGGTGACGCCTCGTGGGCAGGTGGAAATATTGACTTGCAAGCACTTCTGGGGCGTCCCTCCCCACCTGGCTGGCCTGGCTCCGTGGTTAGAAGCAGGCGCCCTCAGACGCTCTTACGGTGGCGGTCCTGACAGGGTTCCCAACCCCGCCCACCAATTTAATTACAGTGAACTTGCAGGCGTGTGGCAAAGACTTGTGAACCCTCAGATTAATATATCATTTGTTTCCTTTTCAGAGTTCGTGGGCTGAGAAAGAAAGTACATTAAAAAGATCGGAGAAGGTAATGTACTTTTCCACGCGCACTTAATATCCGCAGTGTCACTGCTCCCACATTCTAACATGGGCTCTTTTTTTAGCTAAAATAGCCATAGTCATACCCCTCTCACTCTCTTAAACGGTGTCATTATGGTTGTAAAGACACGTTCCAGGAGTGTCTGGATGCTGATTCTTAATGTGAACTGACGCTGGACTGAGAGTCATTTCAGGTCACTGAGTGTCATTTAGTTGAGGGGAGATTTTAAATCAAAGCTCCAAGTTGACTATCAATTTTCTCCTATTTTTAAAAAATTCCTCCTGCTCTCAAAGTGTATAACAGGTAAGGAGAAGGAAAAGGAAAATCAGCTGAGCCATGTCAGACATTGGAAAATGCAGGTGTGCCCCGTTGCCACAGAAGCATGGTCATCACACACCAGCAGCACCATCCCCGTCAGTGAGCAACACCCTGACTACTCCACTCCAGGGTCCAATAGACGGTCCTGGACAGGGCCACATGGTCGGTACTTTTGGCTTTGCGGGCCCTATGTTCTCTGTCACAGTGATTCAGCTTTGCCATTGTAACATCTGAGCGTGGCTGTTTCTATAAAACTTGGTTTATAAAAAGTAGCAGGGGCTACATGGACCCATGGGCCAGGGTGTTTGGATTTCTAAAGCCTTAATTATCTACAAACTAAAAACCCTAAACATTAAAGTATCCATATTGTATCCTTATTTGACCTTTGCCAGAATTGGCAGTTTAAAAAATCTATTTTTTCATTGACTTCAGAGAGGAAGGGAGAGAGAGAGAGAGAGAGAGAGAGAGAGAGAAACAATAAGAGAATTATCCATTGGCAGCCTTCCCACACTGGGGAATGAGCTCAAAACCCAGGCATGTGCCTGGCTGAGAATCGAACTGTGACCTGGTTCACGGGTTGACACTCAACCCCTGAGTCATGGGCAGGGCTAGAAGTGGAGGCTTAATCCTATTCTGGTGTAGCCATGGACAGGTGTTGGCCTGTGGAAACTGCCCTGCTCACAGGGTGTGTTGGAGGGCGCATCTCTGTGCAGACTCTGCAGTGTGTGGACGCCTCCACCTTCCGAGTGCCCTGCCCTTTGATTCCCACCCAGCCTGTCCGGTGGGGCCGAATGGCAGTATCTACATTGCAGTCCTCTTGTGATGGGGAGAGTCCGACAGCGGGTCCTTACTGCTGGGGCCCTTTCTCTGGTTTTCATGCTTGTGGCCCTTCCCTTGTACACGTAATCGTCGGATGTGCTGTGATGGGATTAAGGGCACAGTTGGCTTCAAGGTGTGCTTTCGTTGTATTTACTTGGACCCACACCCTTGTCACCAGAATTAGACTTCAGCGCCCATTCTCCTTGGTGGGAAGTGAGACCTCAGTGGCCTTAGCAGGGCCCCGGTCTCGAGGAGCCTCCCGCAGCCCCTCTGCTCCACGTGACTCGGTGACTCCTTTCCACTGAGGGGCTGCTTCCTGCTGCGTCCCTGGTGCAGAGCCGCTGACCGACCCACCAGGCACTGTGCACCTCCGCCCACCTGCAATGGCTTTTAGTCAACAGAGTTCATAGAATCTAACGCTTAATGATGCGGATCCACTCACAGTTACTTGTGTTTTCCCAGAGAGACACAGAGTTCCTGAAGGCTGCGTTTCTCCTAGTTTACCACGACTGCGCGGTGCCCCTTCTCCACTCCACACTCCTGCCCCCGTTCAGGTGGGCAGAAGAAGAGACCGAGGCCGCGCGGTGGAAAGTCATCGCGGACTTCCTGAAGCAAAACCGAGAAAACCAGGGCGCCCTCCCAGCTCTGCTGTCACCAGAGGGTGTCCATGAACCTTTCGACATTTCAGAGCAGACCTACGACTTCCTGGGTGAGATGAGACAGAAAGCAGCCTGACTGGTGGCCCGTGGCCCTCTGGGACCACCGTGCTGCCCACCATAAAGTGCAGCCAGAAGTAACCGTCCCGTCGAACTTAGCTTTACTCGTCCTTGTGTGGACCACATTTTATAAGAAATACCCATCTGGTCATGTGAATCTTTTAATAAATAAGTTTTTTATAAGGAGTACTGTTATATTTAATTTTAAATTTCTTCAAAACCAACTAACAAATGTAAGTTGACTGTATTTATAGATGTGTATAAAAGCAAGATTTTTAACAAAAGCTGAATTGTGATTATTCAGGAAAGTGACTATACAACCCAGGGGATGGCAGGAGATATGTCCAGGCCATATGTCTTGCAAGAGTCTATTTGAGAAAGTTGTGTTGTTAACCACTTCACTCAGCCTAATATTTGAATGTGATTTATCCTAATTAGATGTAAGAAAGGAGCTAGTAGTATCTTCATCCATTTAATAGGCGCTCCTTCAAAAAACAAAGTTCAGGTACTGGGAGTGAGCCAGCCCAGCTGTCAGGGCAGGGATTCTGAACTGTAAACGAGGGGCCCACTCCCCCCAACCTCCCGGCCATGTCCTGTCCATTGGGTCTGGGTGCTGGGACGGAGGGGACGCATGTGCCAAAGAGCAGGTACAGCCTCTGTCCTCATGGTTTCATGTTCTCAGGTGTGAGGCGGACAGAGCTCACAGGAGCCAGCTGAGATGTAGAACGCACCACATAGGGCAGCGGAGCAGGTTTGAGCCCAAACCCGCGGCCCCTGGGGCCTGCGTGAAAGGGGCAGAGCTGGGAGTCTGGCTGAGGCTGTCTGTCTGCCTGTCTGTCCGCAGCCGCACTGGAGGTCCTGTGCGTGGCCGGCTCAGCTTGGTGAACGTCTGAGGGTCCGGAGGGGGTGGCTGTGCCCTGGCGGGTGGGGTTGCTCCCTCACAACACCGACTGCAGGGCCCGTCATCGCCTTTTCGTGGCTGCGGTGACATTAAACCCAGCAGCGCTATGGCCTGCGATGTCCTAGCCCTGGGCCTGCGCAGAGTAGGCGGCCACGCACGACAGTGGGCATTCCTCCCCGTCCGCGGTCCTCCTGTCCACGGTGCCTTCCGGTCCGCGGCCCCTCCCCGTCTGCGGCCCCCTCCCCGCACCTGGCTCCCTGACTTGGGGCACCTCATAATAGGACTGGGTTTTGGATGGGCCCCTCACGGCCTGAGCTCCCCATATTCCCTCTCTAGGGGTGGGTTAGATAACCTGGTACCCTCAGCTCTGGGTGTTTGATGGGTGATCAATGGATTGGGGCAGGGAGGGCGGACCGGGCTGTGCCTCCAGGAGGGAAGGGCTCAGAGCTGGACTCCTGCGGCTCGAGCCGGGTCTGCGCCGCAATGCCAGGCGGAGTCACTGTGCACGCAGCTCAACCTCAGGATCCGGCCTGTGTCTTGTAGCCGTTTTCCCGGCTCTGGAGGCGGCTGGACCTTAACCTGTTCGTGTGTCTGGCGTTGCCAGGAAAGATTACTTTGCAGAACTTTGTCCTTTCCAAGAGGCCGCCTTGGGGAAGCAGGACAGGCGCCCAGCTCTGCGAGCCCTTCCCAGGTCAGCGTCTCTGGGCGACCTTCCGAGTCCACCCTCTGGGCAGCCCTGTGTGTGGGGGAGTCCTGGGGAAGGTGAGAATGAAGCCAACTGCGGGGACAGTGAGGAGCAGAGCTGAGGACACAGGATGGACGTCCTTGGCGGCGCTGTGATCACTGGGTCCGCTTCCTCTGAGCCCACATTCCTCTGACCCCCTCCCCCTGAGGTAGCGAGTCCTTCTAACCTTCAATGGAAGCCGCCCACTGGCTACACCTGCCCCTTCCTTCCCCAGGCACCTCAGGATTCCCCCTGGCCTCCTGCCCCTGGTCAGGTGACCGAGAAATCTTCTCTGAAAAGTGTGTAAAGCAATGACGGTGGGAAGAGAGTTTGAGGAGGCGTAATAAAGGATAAAGGCAGAGAGCTGGAGGTGCTGTTCCCTCGCTGCTGGCTCTTAGGTTTTGCCTTGTCTGTGCATTCTTGACTGTTGGAGCCTTGATGCTTTATGAAGCTCTTTTTAGGTGAAGTTAAACTGAAAAGAAGGTAAAGAGAAGGCTAACCATATTTCTTACTCCATCCTCTTGCTTTTTATCAAGTTCAGGATGACAAGGTAAAACATGGCTTGGAAGCTTAAAGGGCTTCATGGGAGCAGTCTCTCATCCTTACGTTTTACTTTGGTTTTGCATTTTCCTCTGGGGTCTCAGTGAAGGAGATGGATTCCTAATCGTAGCAGAAAGCATTGAGAAGCCTGGGAGTCAGTCTTTTGGGTCTTATGAGAGCCAATAGTTACTTGATTTTGCAACACCTTGCTCACATTCATCCCCTTAACCTATTAAACAGATTTTATTGAGTACCAGGTACTTCTCCTCTGTTTCTATCCCCCCTTTTGAGGGATAAAATATAATACAAAAAAGTTTACAAAACACCTTTGCAATCATGACCTCAAGCTTATGAATATAACAGTACTATAATCTGTATTGTTTGGCTTTTAATGTTTAGATTTACAATCCACTTCAAGTTTATTTTTGTACATGGGGTGAGGTAAGGACAAGGTTAAGTGCTTTCCATATGAATATTTAGTTATCTTAGCACTACTTATTAAAAAGACTTTCCCTTCTTAAAAAAAACAACAACAGATAAAAGCAGTTGTCCCAAAGTCTCTATGCCTGAGAGAGTGGATTCAATCATTTGAAGCATGAATTGAGTGCCTACTGTGTGCCGGCAGTATTCACTGTGAACCAAGTGACTGCATCCTGGGGAGGGGCAGGGATGGGGACACAGAGCGGATGAACCAATAGACGGGGTACTGGGTGGTGACAGTGCTGCACAGAGAATCACAACAGGCTGGCACAGCCCGGTTCTGGTCAGACAGGGTGGCTCTGCCTCCTCCTCCTCCCTCTGGGGGCAGCCAGAGGCCTGGGCAGCATCTGAGGATACGGAGCAATAAATGGGAGCAGGGAGTCTTGGGAAGGAAATGAGAAACTCCACCAAACTGGTGGAGGTCCCATTCTCCTCCCTCTGTGCTCAGGGACAGCCTGGGCCTGGGAACTGCCCAGGAGACGGACCAACATCTCCAGGCGAAGCCTCGCTTGCTGGTGTGAGGAATGGGAACGAGCCCGACAGCCAGCGCTCAGAAAACCCCTGCTTATTTGTGTGCTTTCCATCTTTCCCGCCCGGCCCCAGCAGGCTAGTGACAGTAGTAATAGTGGCAGCCAGACAGGTGACCAGAACGCTGAGGGAGGCGGACTCTCCTCTCTGATGACTTTTAAGGAAAAGACAAAATTCTTATCAATACAAAATTCAACTGATTGAACAAGTTTTGTTCTCAATAAATTTTTAATATAGGAACTTTTAATAAGTTAAGGAGGGAGACTTACTTCAGAATCAAATAGTCCAAAGAAATAACATATCACAAGAGATTTTTTTAAAAACAATAAATCTTTATTGTTCAGATTATTACAGTTGTTCCTCTTTCCCCTCCTAAAGCTCCCCTCCACCCGGTTCCCACCCCACCCTCCACCCTTCCCCCCGCTACTGTCCTCGTCCATAGGTATACGATTTTTGTCCAGTCTCTTTCCACACCCTCCACACCCCCTTCCCCCTGAGAATTGTCAGTGCACTCCCTTTTTATGCTCCTGATTCTAGTCTATTCACCAGTTTATTCTGTTCATCAGATTTTTTATTCACTTGATTTTTAGATATGTATCATATTTACTTGTTGATAGATATGTATTTGTTGTCACTTTGTTGTTCATAATTTTTATCTTTACCTTTTTCTTCTTCCTCTTCTTAGAGAATACCCTTCAGCATCTCATATAATAC